TTTGGAATTCTGCTAGTCTTTTCTTATTGCTGGGGCTTACAAAACACACCCCACGTGCCTGATCTTGGATTAAATAGCAATACCTCTTTGTACATATAACGAGCTTCTCCTTCATTAAGTGAGATAGTCATATCATACAATGCGATAAAGAAGCTGAATGGGTTAATTGAGGAAAAACACGTGTGGAAATCTGCAACAATTTCATTTTTTCTCTAGATTATTGATGTACACTGAACAGCTTGAGTCAAACGTATATTAAACGAGTATTTGATGAAACTTGGCGAAATATATGACACTTGTATCAATAAAATCGGACACTTGTCAGAAAAATGTTGAATAAATCGTCTTGTTTGTATTAAATAGCTTCGTATGTGTACATTCAAAGATTGTGTTCAAACGGTGAGTCTAAGTTTCAAAATCTGGAATACACAATGAAATAATAACAGTAGTAATGTATAAATATATATCCCCATAATTTTTGAGAACTATCCATTCACTGTAAATTGATGTACAGTAAGACCTCGCTTAGCGCAGGGTATACGTTCCATCAAATTAGAGTGTAATATGAAACAGCGTTAAACGAGGTTATCTCATCATGTAAATAATGGGGTTAGAGGAAGATGGGTGGAAAATTGGTCAGTCATTTTACCATTAAATTTATTATATAAGTATGTTTTTTATAACAATAAAACAAAAATATGTTTCTTACAAATATAGAAACATAATAAACGAATAAACATATAAAAATAAATACAATTTTAAGTCAGTATGTGTGTTTACATTTCAGATCATTCAGTCTCTTCCTTATTTCCAATTTTCTGTCTTTTTGTCAAGAAGGTAGATTGACTTAAAGGCAGATTGCGTTCAATTTCGTTGTCAATCCATATAGAAAGTTTATTATCCATTTCATATATTGTAATATTTCTAGAAAGGGTAATTCTAGTTGCAGAGCTTATCGTAGTTACAGTTGCTGATAGCAGTATTTTTTTTTCTTTATTCCTAAGAATGGTCCTAATTGTGTGTTGAATTTGCCAAATTCAATGCAGCACCGATGTGAGATTGACGCTAACCAGTATCTAATCTTCTAATCACTTGCATTTTAGTTTCTAGTCATTTTATTATCATCCATGATAAAAACTAAAAATACTAATATTTGTCACTATAGAAATCGTTGTGTTATCTAAATTTATACTTACAATGACATCAAAAAATGTTTGAAATGATAAAATTACGTTTGTATAACACCACTGGAAAGATAAAACACAGATAAACTACTTCGGATATAGGGAAGCCTGCCGCTGTGTAATTTCGGGGAATCCCACAATTATAAAAAAAAAAGAGCGTTAAACCGTAACAGCGCTAAACGAAACAGCGTTAAACGGGGTCTTACTGTAGTTAACCTTTTATTGTATTCAAATGTGAAGTATTAATCTTATGGAATTTATGCGTTATATTATGAAAAAAAATTTAATCATGTACTTCCTTTAACTTATATAAGAATTTTTTCAACACGGAAAGTAATTAAAATTTTAGCACCCTTCCAAAACGTAAAATCATGATTCTCTGTTAAACTTTTCCAAAAAAACTTAACATCTAAAATAAAAGAATTTAGAGTTATTTTGTTCATTTCTTTTTCTTTTCATTCAGTTAATGGTTATTGTGCTTCAAGTTTTCCACATTGTTACTTTAGAAGCAACAACAATATATTTTTGGTGTATAACATAGAAAAAAAAATTGTAATTTTTACGTGGGTTATGAATAATTTTTGTCTGTTATATGTATACATTTCATAATCATTAAGTTTAGTGTTAAAATTGACCGGCTTTTAAAAATAATTAACTCTAACGCCTACTAAAAATGTAATTATGTTTCAAATTTAAAATTCCCGAATTATCAAGGAAGTTAAAGATAAAATTTATTTAAACAAAATATATAAAATGGAAGATTAAATAATCTTATATAGTCTCTCACTATAATCCCACACATTATCTTCAAATCCTTTGAAAATAATCAATAAAAGATACAAACATGGAGAAGGCTGTGTCTTCTCAAAAATATTTTCTTCTGAGTATTGGTCTAAATCTAAGGGGAAACTAATATATTTTTTTCATCCGAAGTATTAAAAAATGAATCATCACTTGGAACTAGAAAAAGTTCTCAGAGAGAACAGGTGAAAACGTATGCCAATGAATCAACCCTGATAGTACCTTAGAAAACCTTTTTTTTTTTTTTTTTTTTGCATTATGTCAAAGATCCTAAAAAAGATTAATATCTGTTTAAAACATAGATTTATATACACAACTTTCATCTTTGAGAATTGATTTTAATACCTTCACTTTAAATTATCTACTGAAATTTTATTTAATAAATATAAGAATTTCCTTTAGCTTATTGCAGACATGTATTTCTAGAATATATTATTTTTTATTGTATTTATCATATTTAAAATGAAATTTTAAAGAAAAACATCTCGCAGCATCATCTACATATTAAACGACGTTCTCATTGTGACATCCAAACTAAAAATAAATAATGAATTAGCATAGCATATTAAAATTAACTGTAAATAAATGTACATAAGGAAGGTGAAATATGTTATTTAGGAGAGTATGGAATGAAATTCTGAGGAAGATCAAGGTCCATCCTGGGCTATTGTTCCAGTGAAAAAGACGTATGTTATTTAAGCCTCTGCTTGGATGAATAACGATTTTACTAAATTATATCGTAAAGTATTGGCTATAGGTTTTGAAGAATTAATCATAAAATACATATCTCTCATTTTTAAGCAGAAATTTTAATGTTAAATATAAATGCTGATTATTAGTATTAAACAATTAGTCACTGTGTAATTGTTATCTTTTCGCAAACATCCGAATAATCTGACTCTTGTTTTAAAAGAATCTAAGTAATAGGCATTTTATTTTTAAAGTAATTTAACTCTCATTGAAATAAAATGTAAGTAAATGCAATTAAAGTTATTGATTTAACTTAACTTGATTAAATCTAGTATAAAGAGAAGTGAAGTGAGCACAGTTTTAAGCGGCGGAATGAAATTTAAATGCTGAATTTTTCTTTCTCCGTACTGATAATCCTAAAATTTTCATCTGTTCGAAAGAAAAATGGATTTCTGAATGTTTAGTAAACCTGAAACAGCTTACGAAATTTGAAATAAAGAAAAAGGAAAATTTCTGAAAGTGAATCACGGCTTCACGATGACTCACCGAAAGCTTTGGCAAACACTAAGGTTTATTTATCTCAACCCTGATAAATTATACATATTTAAATAACTTTCATACAATTTTTTTATTACTCAGAAAATCAATATTTCAATTAATTTACAACAAACACCTAATTTAAAAACCGACTTCAGTTCTTTTTCAGTACAAACGCATCTGAGTTCATCGTGCTGGTAAGCTGTAAAAAAAAATAATTAAAAATCAAAACTAAGTATCAAATTACTCACCGACTGTACTCTTATGGATTCTCCATAATCTTTGCCCCCGTTGATTCCAAACCCCCATCGGTTGCTGGAATCTGATCGCTTCAAGGAGATCAAAAACGGACGCTGGAAAGCCATCTCCAACCGAAGATTAAAATTCCAAAAAATACCACTTTTGATTCGAATAGAGTAAAAAAGAAAATCGTTCGTTCTACCTGCAGCCAAGCCTCGGGTCTATTTTATCGTTGCGGTCTGGCTGACTGTTCGACTATATTTGACTCTTTTGAGTCAGAATTGATCCCAGGGAGCACGTGTTTGGGTTTACTGGAAACTTGGAGTGACAGATGGATTACGCCAAATCCCGCGCCAAGATATACAAACAGTTCGTCTTCGACTTACCCCTATGTGACTTTTTTTAGAACATTTTAGAATCGGTATATAGATGAAGGGGAGTTCATCTGAAAAAGAAGATAGGGTAGGATCGTTTAAAGATAGCTAAGTAGATAACAAGACAAGCTTTGAAAGCTTGAGATGTAGAAATACACCAGATAATATTGTCCAAATATAATTTACAGTAATAATTAACATAATGACTATTATTAACAAAAATTAAGGGAATGTACCTGAAATTTAGTATGCAATAAATTATATCTATTTTATAAGGTAAATTCCATATAATTCTTCGGAAGATCTATCAGTGTAAATTGATCTAGTTCAGGGGTGGAGCCCTTGCTTTGGCTCGAGGGTCAAATTGTAGAAGTGGAGAATACCGGAAGGCCGCTCCTTTTTAAAACGATTGAATACATTAGTTAACTTTGCTTCTAAGAAGAGGTATAAATTGTAACATAAAAATTAATAAATATCAATTAAATAATACAGTGGCATATGTATATGTATATATATTCATATATAGTCTATATAATTCTCTATAAACAAGATATAAACATTCATCAATCACATTGGAAAAAAACGCATAGACAGAAAAAAGATCATACAATGAAGGACACTAGATTAAAAATTATAAAATGGATGCTGCAGTATTATAAACATTGCTGACTTAGGACAGCTAATATATAAAATAATTTATATAAAAATGGGGTTGAACATGTTTTTTGGCCAGCCAACCTTCCCCCTTTATGTAAATAATACTGAGCAAAAACCTATTGAAAGTAATGGATAGGAGTATCTAAATCCATTACAAAATAGAGGTAACTTACCTAAAAATTGCACTTGACAGAGCCCGCGCTAAATCTGAGTGCAATAAAAAAGTTATTGCCAGATTCTGGACCCAAATGCAGATTCAAAGCATGTGAATGGCTGAAATGTAGCACTTAACAAAAGTATATATATATATATATCTTGTTCAAGTTTTCAAACGTTAATAAAATACTTTTTATTCACCCACTCAAGTTCAAATACATTTCTTTAAACTTGTGGTGGATAACACGATGTTAATGCAGTTTTTTCAAATATTAATTCATTAATATTTTAATTGATGAATAAATAGTAAGAACTATTAGTCCAACACCATATATAAAAAGGAAATTTACTTGTGGTGCCTCTCCCTGTAGCGAGATGGATAGCGCTTTGGACTCGATCCAAAGGGCGTGGGTTCGTATCCCATCTGGGATAGCCTAATTTGTGAGTGTCCAACACCATATATAGAAAGGGAAATCATTTTTTATTTTAACACTTAATATTGTGACTGTCATTTTTGTATGTACATATTAATAAAGTTAACTATTTAACAAAAAGTAACTGAAGTAAAAAAAAAATTTGACCTAAAGTAGGAATTGACCTAGGAAAACCTAAGTAGGAATTGACTTTAAAAAACATATTTTTATATTAATTGTTTGTGCTAGTATCATATCATCTATAACTGAAGACACATTTAATTTTAGAGTCAAGTCAATGAAATAAATGTACCATGTCATACTTTTTCTGTGTTTTTTTTTTTTTTGAAATCAAGAGTGTGATTGTTTTGGAAATTCTCATCGAATCTTGCAAATTAATGTCAGCCAACTAGCATCTATATTTACTCTTACTGATTGATCTTCAGACAAGAAAAACTTGCCTCAAACAAATATATGAGAACATTTCCTGTATATTACTGCCTTCGAGGGCTGCAAACAAAACTTTTTGCAGGCTCACCGTTGGTCTAGTTTAAGAATAAAATTACTGGAAAACTAGACTGATAACATAAATAATTGTAAAACCTATTAGAGTAGGTTTTGTTTCGGTTTGAACCAGGTTTTAATTAGAGCTACTTGTCAGCTATTGGGGGAAAAGGTTTTATAATTTTGAAACGTGGTTCAGAGTGACAAAAACTGGCTTAATCTAGAAGTTCACTCTCCTAACTACCACAACATTTCTAATGAAGATTTTCAGGTCTAATATTGAATTTAAAACACAGCAATTGCCGCAGTGGCGCTTATTTAGAATTATAAGTGGGGTGGAGTAGAAAATGCATAAAAATAAAAGTACCGTAGAGAATCGGGGGAATATAATTAGAAGAGAAAAGGTATACAACACAATATTTGAAGATTTAGCTACAAAATGGTAAGTATTTGACGCTTTCAGAACAAATTTGGACCGACAGGGCCGGCGCTAGGGGAGGGCAAGCTGGGCCCCTGCCCGGGGCGGCAACTTTAGGATGCGGTAAATTGGCTTTAAAATTAACCAGTTTATGAAGAAAATAAATCAAGATTCATTTAAATCTTATGAAAAATTCATATATGTTGAATTTTAATAATATATATATATTAATAAGATATTTATGTTTACGAACTTTTAAGTAAAGTGTTTTTTTTCCAGGTATAGAAGTTTAAGTTGGCATTACTTTCCAAGATGGCGACCGAGTTAACAGCTGTCAAGTGATTTATTCTCAATTTGGTTTGGCAATTCATCAAAACGATCATCAAGCAAGGCGTAGATTCGTCGAATGGGCCCAAAACGAGATTGCCATTGTTCCCGATTTTCATAAACGAATTTTGTTTAGCGATGAAGCACACTTCTGGTTGAATGGCTACGTCAACAAACAAAACTGCCGCATTTGGAGTGAAGCTAATCCACAAGTGTATGTCGAAACACCGTTACATGCAGAAAAACTGACTGTTTGGTGGTCTGGTGGAATCATTGGTCCGTTCTTCTTCAAAAATGATGAAGGCCACAACGTTACAGTCAATGGTGATCGGTATAGAGCCATGATTACTAACTTTTTCATTCCTGAATTGAACAATCATGATGTCCCGGAGCTGTGGTTCCAACAAGACGACGCAACATGTCACACAGATCGTGCCACAATCTATTTATTGAAAGACACGTTTGGTGACCGCCTAATTTCACGTTTTGGACCTGTGAATTGGCCTCCAAGATCTTGTGATTTAACACCACTAGACTATTTTCTGTGGGGCTATGTAAAGTCATTGGTCTATGCGGATAAGCCACAAACGCTTGACCATTTGGAAGACAACATTCGCCGTGTTGTTGCCGATATACGGCCACAAATGTTGGAAAAAGTCATCGAAAATCGGACGTCCAGATTGGACTACATCCGAGCCAGCCGTGGCAGTCATATGCCAGAAATCATATTTAAAATGTAATGCCACAAGATTATCTTTCGAATAAAAAAAAATTCATGTCAATCGAATAATACATCGTTGTTTTATTGCAATTTAAAGTTCTATACCTCTAAAAAAAACCACCCTTTATTTTAAAAGTCAAAATATTTGAAATTCAAGGGCATCCCTCACAAGCATAATAAATTCCCACTTAAAAATAGCTTAAAACGTAAACAAAAAAATCACTCTTTTTATTATAATTTAAATAAATGGGCCCCCATACTAAGTGCTGTAATAGAATTTTTTACCGTGTGTCTTAATTTGTCGAAACATGTATGAAAATGCGGGCAGGCACGAAAAATCAGTCCTGGCAAGCTTTCACGCGCTTTTAACCGTGACTATAAAAGGTATAAAAGGCAGTTCTATTGTTTAATTTATGGAATAATTGCATTGCAGATTGGTTGCTCGTGAAGTAGAGGGCGTTGTAATACAATTACTATTTACTGGGCATTTTTTGAAACTTGTGTCTGTTATTAAAGTAAGGTGAGTTGAATAAAATTAAAAAATATTCAGTTTTTCTCATGAAATTTTTAAATAGCTTCTACAGGATGTTTCTTTTTAAACGAGGTTTTTTCATGTATTTTTAACCGACTTCAAAAAAGGAGAAGGTTATCAATTCGATCAATTTTTTTGTTGTTGTTTTTGTTTTTTTTTTATGTTTTTTCGACGATTACTTCGGCATATCTCCACCAATTTGAATGATTTTTTTTGTTTGATAGGGTATGTTACCGGTTTGGTATCATTGTTAAAAAGGTGGTTTAAAATGTCATCCCCTAATTTTGGGGGTAACATTTAGGGGTTGATAAAAAATAAAAGTTTCCGAAAATAATTAAAATTTGAGGTGAATAAAGTCACTGGGAATCCAAATCTCTTTCAACTAATTTCCTACAACTTTTACAGCTTTGTATGCGTGAATTTGGGTACTATTGAAAGAGATTTTGGCAAAGATTGGTCTCAACAAAAGTGATGAAAAGCATGGTCAAGTTTTATGAATGAAAAGAAAGGGGCAGAAGGACCCTGAGAAAAAGACCTTTTTTCGAGGAAATTTGAGGGAATCCTGTGTCAATTTGACTTCCGAACTAAGTCTTTTAGCTTCCTGTGCTTATGCAGACAAGACTAAGTCGTACAACAAAAAACGTAACCATATTTTCATTTTTAAATTTTTACAGTTTAATGCCCAGGAATTTCAATCATTGCGTAAGATAAAGTAAAAGAAATTATTTTGATATGTGTGCTTTTTCTATTTTATTTATTTATTTTTCATTTCACATATATAAATATAAATGTCTTTAGTTTGTAGAATATTTTCTTGATGATTAATATATTTAATTATGTGTGTTTTCGTAGCTTGAATGTACCGTAATCGTCTTGAAACATTTTCGATTGATATTGTAATTCAAATCAAAAAATATGATTTGCCTCACGTATAAAAATAATTTCTTTAGTCGTTTATTAATTAGTTCATTTAAAATGCAAAATATTAATGAGATTTTGAGTACATTCATCATTTATATTTGTGATTTAAAAGATACTCCTCAAAACGACGTACTAATGTATTGTAAGGATCTGGAAAGAGTGTTAACTGATGGGAACTCATCAAATATAAACGCGCTGGACCTGGTAGACGAGATAGTAGTGGTTTTGGCTTTGCTAAATAAAAAAGAATGCCCAATCGATATTTTAAAATTCATATCAAACCCGGATTTTGCTCCAAATGTCGGTATAGTTTTAAAGATATTGCTTGCTCTCCCAATAAGTGTGGCAAGTGGAGAAAAGAGTTTCTCCAAATTAAAATTAATTTTAAAAAAATTTACGCTCCACAACTACCGAGGATTGGCTAAACGGCCTGTCAACAAGAGCCATTGAACAAGAACAGGATGAAGAAATTAATGTTAAAGAAATTATTAAAAAAATTCTCATAATTAAAAGTGAGAAAGAAACACTTTTAAGTTTTTTTAACTCTCGGTTTAAATGTATTTTTAATATGTAATTAATTTTTAATATTTAGTGGTTCTATAATTTGTTTTAGTATTTCTTTAGTATCTATATTTTATAATTATACACTAGAAATGACTTTTTTTTCTATACAACCCTAATTTTATTTTAGAGCTAAAAACATAAATTAATACTTTTTGCTAATCAAAACTTCAATATTATTGATAGCAATTTTTTGCTCACGTTTTATTTTACCATTAAGAGTGGGAAGGGCTTAGGTTATCTGTTTTAATGTTTGTTATAAATGGGGGCGGCATTTTACCTCAGGGCGGCGAAACTGCTAGCGCGGGCCCTGGGACCGAGAAGTAAAAGTTGATAGATAGCCAACTTTATACTGACTTAGTAATATTCTTTTGAGATTTCGACTTAATACATTTTTTCTCTACTATGTTTTAATTCATGTTATTCTATTATTTGCATACAATTAATCTGTAGGAATCAGTTACTAGTGAAACTTGAGTTTATATTAACCACACCCCACTGCTTAACCATTTCATGCTTTTTTCCTCTAAGAACAATTTTTATTAATTTGACAAATGAAAAGAAAGATGATAGATAGGGCAAACATGTTTGCATAAATATATTTTTTTAACTATAATGCACCAAAATGGATTATTATGAACGACCTAAATCGAATATATAAATTAATCTTTTCTTCAAAAGAGAAAAACTTTTTCGCCTAATTATCACTATTCTTCCATTTAGCATGATGATACTCCATCTACGATTCTCTTTGTACATCGGTAGCTTCAAAGCGCTCACAATTGTAACCTCTAAGATACCATGGCCTAAGGTATTATTTAATTGGTTATAGAATAAAAGGAAGAATATATATATATATATATATATATATATATATATATATATATATATATATATATATATATATAATTTAAACAAAATAAATTTAAGATCTTAAGACTATGTGATGACTGATGTCTGTTAGCAATTGTCAATACGAGTTACAATGAAACTTAATAAGATAATGGCAGGAATTTTATCCGCATAATTTATATT